AAAATGTATTGACCCACAAATTAATGAATATTCATGAGCACAGAAACTGCTACGTCATAAATAAATTAGCATAATTTAAAAAAATTTGCATAAAGTGTAGGTATTCCTTCTGGAGCTCTGCCCTTTGAACTAAACAGATTTTCTATTAGCTTCAGATCTTGATCAAAGTTAGGCACCCAGTTCATAGGAGTGCTTATATTGATTTTCTGACATCTTGTTTTCTGTAAAGATTTTATTGGTAGGTTTGCAAATGTGTATCAGACTGTGCAATCTCTCCATGAGTTGGTTTTGAAACCCAGTATGGGATTTTGAGATACATTACCAAGGATATTATTACAAGATAAATCATTTGCTTCATTGAACACATACAACAATGCATATTTCCACTGAGATCAGTGACCTTTGATGTGTATCACCAGTGATCAGTCAAGTAGAAACAGTCAAAATATTTTATCAGATTTTCTCAATTTTTGCATGATATTTTCATACAGGACATCTGTTGTTCAAACTCAGGAAAGACTTTATACTGATGAATAAGGTGACCAAGTTTGATAAAGTTTGGAATAGAATTAGTAAAGTTATTATGCACACAATAACAATTATTAACGACGACGACGACGACAATGACAACAACAACGACGACAACAACGCCGGACAAAATTTTTCCCTTAATATACCTTTCCCTTCCATCTTTGATGGTACGGGCAAGGTAAAAATGTATTTTGTTTTTATATGGTCATAATAATAAAGAAATATCTTACAGCATTGATGATTACCATGCATCACATTAAAAAACACTAAAATACTCATTTAGCTCAACATATGGATTAGAAGCACCTTGATCTTGCTAAAATCACGGCGTTGAGGGGCCATGCTAAAATCACGGCGTTGAGGGGCCATGCTAAAATCACAGTATTGAGGTATTGTACTAAATTCAGTGTTGAGGGGCTGCACTAAAATCAGTGTTATGGGGCTGTGCTAAAATCAGTGTTGTACAAATGTACTAGAATCAGTGTTGAGGGGCCATGCTAAAATCACAGTATTGAGGTATTGTACTAAATTCAGTGTTGAGGGGCTGCACTAAAATCAGTGTTGAGGGGCTGCACTAAAATCACAGTGTTGTACAAATATACTAGAATCAGTGTTGAAGGACTTTGCTAAAATTGAAGTGTCGAGGTATTGTACTAAAATCAGTGTTGAGGAACTTTGCTAAAATCACAAAGTTGAGGGACTGTACTAGAATCAGTGTTGAGGGACTTTGCCTGTTGGTGTTGAGAGACTTTGCTAAAATCACAGTGTTGAGGTATTGTACTAAAATCAGTGTTGAGGGACTTTGCGTGTTGGTGTTGATAGACTTTGCTAAAATCACAGTGTTGAGGGACTACTAGAATCAGTGTTGAGAGACTTTGCGTGTTGGTGTTTAGAGACTTTGCTAAAATCACAGTGTTGAGGCATTGTACTAAAATCAGTGTTGAGAGACTTTGCGTGTTGGTGTTGAGAGACTTTGCTAAAATCAAAATGTTGAGGGACTGTACTAGAATCAGTGTTGAGGGACTTTGCGTGTCGGTGTTGGGAGACTTTGCTAAAATCACAGTGTTGAGAGACTTTGCTAAAATCACAGTGTTGATCGAGAGGCAATACAACGTAAGAATGAACTTTTACTGAATCTTAGCTAAAATAACATGTTAGATAAAAAGATAAGTGTACAGAAAACTCAGTGTTGAACTGATTGTAACAGACAGTATAGTAGTGTGGAATACTTTATTTTCGCTGGAATTAATTTTTGCTGAAAAAGTTTTTTGGGCGTTCTGCATGGAATTTATTTTCACTGGATTTTATTTTTACGGAATCATCCCTTCCACGAAAATAACAAAAATAAATTCCAAGCAAAAATAATGTATTCTACAGTATACTGTATGATTGTACGCAATAAACAGCTGTTTTCAAGATACCAGTGCCACAATGTTTATTGTTATGTAACATAATCTTGTACAGTAGTTCTTTAAACACATAGGGATTGTTTATTTGTGATATCAGCATACTACCAACTGCAAGCTAAAACTGTGTCTTGCAACCCCTAAATCACATTTTATACTACGTGACTGTATTATAGAATCAATGGTCGAACAGTGACACAATTCAAAGCAGGCAACGGAATAAGGGGGCGTCAACGCATGCACATTCAACAACTCGAATTGGCGAAAGTCCCGATGACCACCCAGTTGGTCATGACACTTCACTTGTGTGCATACGCAGAAAGACTCGATCACGGCATACTGTTTCCTGCAATAACAACTTGTCTTTAAGGATGACGTCTTACAACCAATGGAAGCTGGTGGTCAAAAGATTAGGAATCAACGTTTGCGTTCACATTTGAGGACAATATATTATCTAATAATTTTAAAAAAAAATAGCCAGCAGTATTACTACTCGTTGTCATTTAGTTGTACGCCACAATGATAGACTTGGATAGCCAAGTTCTTAGAGTGATTAGCTAACCTCAAACAGTCATCAAACAGGAAATAAGCCATTGTTTTGCTTCTGCTGACGTTCAAGTTACTGAACTGTAAATCCGCAGTGTCGCCGCAGTGTTTTGACTAATCTCTATAATTTGCCATTGATTTTGAACTTTGAAACAAATATAAGACACATGAGGAAATTGGACTAAAAGCAGCACAGAAACGACGTGACAAGCTTAGCTAGTTTAATAATCGTCACTGTGACACTATGAATTCCAACAAATATTTTTACTACACTCAACCTCGCACAGTATTTACGAAAATAACTGTATTTCTTACCTCGTCTGTTATCTCGCCATGCAGTGGCTCTCCATAAAAAGAGTTGATTGTCGCGTCATTTCTTGTTTTTAATAATCCATATCAGAGGTACATTAATCCACGACGCAGTCCACGAGTAAGTTGTATTAACGCGGAAGCGGAAGTATCAGAACTAGCAATCTGTTCCCACAATCCACCACCCACGAACGAACTAGACCACTTAAGTAAGTGAAAAAGTTGTCACCATTTTGTTGACAAGTTAGATAGTCCAGTACGGCGACGGAGGTGGTTCACAACATGGCATTTTATAAAACCATTTTTACAATTCATTTACATTTTTACAATTCATTTTTTATTTTATAATCCCTTTCTAATAACCATTTTAGTTCTGAAATCGAATTTTAAAAAACAATTTCGATTCTGAGATGATTTTATTTTAAAAAACAATTGTTTAAATCCATTTTCGTTTTCAATATAAAATCTATTTTTGTTTTCAAAATCCGTATATATTTTTAACATCCGTTTTCATTTTTAAAATCTATTTTTGTTTTTAAAAGCCATTTTCATTTTTAAATCTATTTTCATTTTTAAAAACCATAGCAAATTTTTCATCTGAATTTACTGAAAAATCAATGTTGTTTCCCGTCTATCTATGTTTTTAATGAATGAAATTCTCATTTCGATTCGATATTCGATTTATTGTTTAAATATCATATCAACTTGACCCTGATAGTTTTTTTCTTATCTTTTTTTTATTTCCACCAGTGACGTTTCCATGGTAAGGCTTCTTTACGTACGTTATTTTCTAGACTGTACTAGTAACTTATTTAGCCGTGGTTCCGCGGCGATTTTGAGTCCATAAAGGGTACCAAAACGCAGCAGAACCACAGCTATAACTTATTCTAATCAACCTTGGAGCTCTCATATAATCAGCTGTGAGGTTGATAATCAGAAAGTTAATTTCATGCAGAAATGTAAGCTGGAAACAGATTTAAAATTGTAGTAGTCGTTTTCTCTGAATATGGGTATTAATATTCAGCACAGGTCTGGGCATAAACACGAGAGGTTTTGATTAAACCGCTCCTCAGTTTTTGTTATTTTATTACGTTCAGTTCTGACATATTTTTTTAAAAGGGGGAAACGCATGAAAGTTGTGAATAGACAATTCCTAATTTGCATATTTACCTAAATTGGCGACGTAATCGTAATAATCGCTTGACATCAAGAGATACAATTTTTATGCTGAAGAAATGTCATGTTATATACATGTAAATCAAATGAAGTATATTATATTTAAAAGAATTCTATCCTGCAATAATATTCTGCATCAGAGATAAAAAAAATGTGGTACTATATTGACGACATATGATTCGCTTCCATGAAAAAGAACAGTTTCCCATATCAATGAGTCACTGGTATGTGTGTCACTTGACCCCCCCCTCTATCTTCTTATATATCTGTAAAATATTATTGTAAACATTCATAATTTTTCTGTTTGGATTCCAACATTCCTGCTACTGTCATCCACGTAATATTATAAATTGCAACTTGGAATTAATTAATGTTTCTATTAGAGAGTTTAAGATTTGTGTACGTAGCGGGAACGTAACGTGTTGTTTTTTGTTTGCGTTACGTTCTCGGGTGTCAGAAAACGATCAAGTACAAGCGCCCACAACGGGAACGAAATGTAAACAGAACCATGTAAACCCGTCTCTCATTGGGCAACCATAATAATAATAGTTTATTACGCAACTGTAATCTGCTGTGGATATAGTAAGGTAAAAATAATGTAAAATAAAGCAACTAAAAATAACTACAAACTTAAAAGTTCTAATAACTACAAATAAATCAGAAAATAATAAAAATACAGTAAATAAATCAAAGTAAAGGCTCTCCCCACCCAGGGGTTTACACAGGCAGTGCTTTGTATATGGTATTTTTAAGATATAGACACAGAACAATGTTATTTTCCATAATTTTTAAAAACATTACGTCTTTGTTCTTTTCACTTGAGGTAATTTTGCAGTTTTTCAGGAGGATTTTTCATTCATTTTCAAAATGTGGGCAGCTCAAAAGTAAATGTTTTTCATCTTCATTATCGCCTTGATCACATTTTTACAAACTCTTTCTGGTGCTGGTATAACTATCCAATACTTTTTAATTCACGTCCGGAATCTCAATTAGTAGTTAGTTCCCACACAATTGACAGAGCTCTTGCTATTTCCATTCACTCTCCTGAGGTCCCAGGCCTGTTTGCCAAATTCTCTTTCAGCAGATCAATGTCATGCGTTACCATCCATCTAAATACAACAAGTCTCACCGCGGGAAATGTGGTGGTGGATTGACGAACATCTCACCGACTGAGGGCAGTATTGCATTACCAACTAAATACGTAACAAATGTATTAAAGTATTTCAGGTGTGATCCCGATAGAAGTAAACACGGAAACAATATTAGAATACGAACCTGAATACGAAGGAAGCCTATGTGAATACAGCACTAAATTTATCCGTAATTTGGTTATTCACTTGTGTGATGGTGCTGTTTCCGGTTCTTTGTTGAACCCTTCATCAGTCGAAACAGTAATTGAGTAATTTATTTAGCTTTCAGAATGTTCGACGTTATTACTTTCATTATACAATTTAGTTAAAATGCCGGGAAAGTAATTCTTCGTCGTCTGGTGTGTCGTTCTTTCACGAGTTTGTCAGTACGTAGAATAGAACTTGTAAGTTTATCTTTTAAGTTTTTATTTCTACGAAATGCAATAAGGGGAGGATTTATAAAAAAAAAGTCAAAAACAACCACTTTCTGATGATTTTTAAATAATGGTTATTGTTTTATCCGGATGTAGAAAGTCAACAATTGCAGTTAGTACGATTGTTTCACACTAATTGAAAGTAACATTCTCATTGTCAATATATCTTGTTGTAGACAGAATAACAACCAACATTCTACAATCATCTCTGGCAGTACAAAAAAGACGTTTAAATTATAACATTACATAGAAACAAATAAAAAAAATTCAATTTCATCGTTCAGTGAGTACAATAGTGAATTCAGCGTGGTTATAATTTTGGTCAACACCACAGAATACAGTGCACTGATAAAATTAAGTTATCATCATTGAATGCACTTGACTCATTATGTCCAAATAAAGTATAAAAGTATGTTGATTTAAAATGAGGAAAGTGAAAATCCTTGAATGAGGAAAGTGAAAATCCTTGAAAAACAGTTTGCAAGCAAGTCTTTCAACGCTTTACGTATTATTTATTATGAACCTCATTCTATTGCCATATGAACAATACCATGGTGTCATATATCACGTCAAATATGCATTTTATCAAAAATGATTATAAATATTATCAACTTAATATTGTATGAGCTAATGTAAGTATCTGTGGCTCCATGTGGAATGCTTGTTACATTTGACAATACCTGATATTATTGTTCATTGTCTAATGTCTAAATACATGTACAAATTACACGATGTATAAAACTAACCACACAGGATGTTACAACTTTTGCTTCCTTGTGCTTGACGAGCAAGTGTTTTGTGTGGTATCAGAGATGATACTGTATGTTTTTACAGCATTTGTTTGGGGGACAGAAGACTGTGTTGCACATGTCTATTTCCATCCCCAGATATGCAGAGTTATCTCTAACAGAGATTACCCGGTACACTTCATTGACTAAAAACCCTACTATACAGACCTCGGGAGTAATAGTGTGTACTGAAGGGGTTGTTTGATGTGTAATGATGAAACCATTCATCTTGGGGTCTATGACAATTTTCCTGACATGGAGTTGAACTACCATCACTGTGCACATACGTGTAAAACACCAGTGGAGCTAAGCAGAGGAAGTATTCAGAATTGGAATGCTGTCCAGTCTACTTCAAACCTCAAGAGTTTGACTGTCTGGGTATATTAGTATATGTATAGGTATATAGTCATTCTGTCTGAAACACTGTCTAATATAGTGTTGTATGATCATCAGAAAAGACTAGGTTGACAAATTTATTCTGAGGTCTATCACTGCTCTCAATCCCCCTCATTCCTTTAAACGTGAAAACCAGAATTGGTTGCTGTGCAGACGACGATGACTCCCTTGGATAGACTGAAAGCTTACAGAGATTAATTTGACTTCTGCTTTGAAATATGTGTCAATGTTAGATTTCTGACAAGACTTGATGAGGTGAATATCCACAAAGCAGTGCAAGGTGATTTGTTGGGTTGGCAGCTTGAGGAGTGTTTCTAGCAAAGGTATTGTTCCTCAAAATGTTCTCGGTGGATACAGAGTATTATAACCACAACAGTGGTATGAGCAAAACTTACACTGTATTTACCAGTATTCTAGACAAGATTTGTTATGGTTGACCTAATCGTGGAGAGTTACCGGTAATTAATTAGGTCCAGACTAGTTTACAATTGAATCCATTGGTGAGAGCGCTCTAACTCATACTGACTGCGTCAGGCTAAATTTGGCAGAGGGGATTGATGAACATATGTATATGTCATCGTTTAGTAAATATGTCACGACTTAGAGATTCATGTCACCATCAGATGAACACAAATTTATTACACAAAGCTATGATGACTGTATCTATAGATTACATGATACAACATTTATTACAATAATCACTAAAATAATTTAGTATTGATATCTACGATATATTACTATTGGATACTTTAATGAAAGTGACGAACAATTCATTTACATGATACCAAAAAATAATAAAATAACATAGCAGTCATAACTGATATGAGACCTTTTTCTTTCATACAAACTGAATTTATTTAAAAAAAGCTGGAAAGTTAAAAATTAACAACCAGCAATATAAAATATGCATTAAAAAGTGGAATATAAATATTGTCATAATATTAATCTGATAGATTTGTTCTTTTGAATGGCAAGTTCTTTGGTAGACAGTATGTCATTGTTACTAAAGAAATGAATACATTTAAGAATGGGAATGCTTATTAATTCCCTTTATTCCATTCTGACAAGAAAAGATTGACAGATTTGTTCAATGTCTGTAATGTTTAATGAAAAGCCAATATTGTTATCCGCTTTGAGTTTGTGAGACAAATATCCATGAATCAGGGAAAATTTCAGGTGAAAATGTTATCATTTTCAATAGTTTGAAATGTTAACGTTACATGCCCATTTTGCAAATTTGTGAAACATCTCCCCCAAAACAAGTAAAAATCTTAAAATATGTAAAAATTATGTTTTTTGTTTAAAACTTGATATTCCTGCACCCACATTTTTATACAATTCATAGAATACTGATAGATCTTATCCCTTGTACAAACATACACATGTATAAGTGACCTTTATAGACTCAGTAACTCAGTTTTCCTATTGTTTACAAATCTAATTTAGGAGATTTTACTTAAATTTACACTTTCACTGCCCATCCACAATCCCAACATTTTATGGTACATATCTTAGTCAGGGGCTGAGACCTCACAGATTTGTAAAGTGGAAATGCAACTTTAAACATTCAATTGACTATGAAAAGATACACTGCTATCATCATAGCGAGTATACACCACACATGATGTGATGATTTTGTCTGGATGATAATTTTTAAACGCCACAGTTCCCCTTAAAGAATGAATTTTAGGCATATCAAGTACAAACATTCAAGAAGGGGAATGGGTCAAAATATGCGGTTCAAATGAAGCTAATTTTACTTCACTCAAGAAACCGTTTTTAAGTACATAGTAATAATGGCAGTGATGAATATATTACCATCAGCCAGTGTGATTACAGAGGTTCAAGCTGAATTAAAGATGTCATGTTCATCATACTTACATTACTGGTATTATGGGTTCATGCCATCAGAACACCAAATATAGGGGTCAGTGGACAATAATCAAAATACATCGGCCCAACATGAAAAATGTACAAAATTGTCATTTTTACTCTGGTTTCTTTATATTTCGAATTTTTCTTGGTGACATGGGATGAAAAGGTCATCCCATGTCCTTTTTTGGGGTCACCAAGCCAGCAATATTGTCAGCTACTTGGCTGACATATGATCCACATAAATGATATACTGTAGAATACTTTATTTTCGCTTGGAATTTATTTTCGCTATTTTCGCTGAAGGGATGATTCTGTGAAAATAAAATCCAGTGAATATACTTTTTTTCCTATATTCACATTCAATTAATCAAAAATCAGTGAAAATAAATTCCATAAAGAACGCCCAAAAAGCCTTTTCAGCGAAATTTAATTCCAGCGAAAATAAAGTATTCCACAGTATTTGCTTTCTGAAAGAAACACAGCTGTATATGCCTGCCAATTAGCTAACGATACTGCTGGCTTAGTGCACAAAACATATTTGCAGCCACAATATTTGCTTTCTATTATGCATTAACCCACAATGCATTGCGTATATGCAGTAAATGCACAGTAGCAAAATTTGAATTCAGCTCAAACAACCTTAAGTACAAGAATTGAATACTGTATTACACTTTGAAATTGTAACAGCGCCCTCATCAGTATAGAGTACGAAACTGCATTAACTAAAGAGAGCGCCCTCAACTGACAACCAGATTCAATAGGATTTAATTTCCAGGTATCAGATGTCATCAACCACATTTTAACATTTAATCTCGTTGTGTGTTGTTTCAGGACATAATCAGTTGTGCTTCATGCATGATACGTAATCTTGGTCCCGTAGGAATTCCTAGCTTCTCCAATCGTTGTTCATTGAGAAATGGAAGTTCTATCATGCCAACTTTCTCTCGGTCAAAATTTGGAACATATTTCTGAAAAACAAAGATGAATAGAATCAATTAGTCATGATAATTGCAATGACAGACACTTAGTTTTTAGCATACTATATATGAGTTGAAAACACACACCATGACAGAAGCCTGTCACCATTAAAAGTACATGTACATGTAAACCAGCATTTGCATTTATTGTATACAGGATACTTCAGTGTAAGTAAGCTCATGACAATCAACAAATTGTTTATGTTTCCTACAAACTTTTGAAATAGAAAAAGTGCCAAATAGCACCACAAACGACTGTGTGGTGATTTCATCAACAACCTCACATATATCACTGATTTGTGATCTTTCAGAATCACACAGTGATAATTATCTACTAGACACAAGTGATTACTGCAACATTTTTGTATCAATCCGAGCCATAGGCGAGAATTAATGCTACTCTGCAATTATATATTCATCACATGCATATTTCCACAGACCAAAAAAGTGAAATGGCAGGAGGTTGATAAAATAACATTGAATATGAATATATCATTGTGAGCACATAATTTTGTGTTCAATGGTGTTTACCTCATATCCAAGCTGCTTTAAAAATATTGCAAGTAATGGTGGCTCTTCACCAAAAAATCTGAAAAAAAAAAAGAAACAAAACAAATTCTCATCCATTATTTGAACTGAATAAGTTACCAATGATTAATGCACACATCATGTTTAAGAAAGACACTATGCAACTGAAACACTGAACCAGGTTTCATTTACTTTCATTATGCAAATAAGACAATTACCGGTAATATGCAAACATTTCTACCCAGAACAAATCTTATTTGAAATTAATTTGTTCTCCATGTGTTTCTGAAAATATCAATATAACACAGACATTGGCTGAACACAAAATATGGGTAAAAGTCTCCTTAGAAACTTTTATAGCCTTTATACCACAGCTACTATCGCACTTTTTTGTGGAATGCTTTACAGGTTAAAGCAGGGGTTTTTCTAGAAAAAAACTGCAAGAGGGAGAACTTCAATTCAGCAGCGCCACCAAGTGGCGGAGATAGGGTTCTCCCTACCAGGTTGTGGAGTTTTTGATAATTCTTAGTTAAAATGGAGCATTCTATGGCTTCCTTTGGGCCAAAATTATTATCAGACATGTCACAGTTGAAAACTGTGGCCACATGTGATCCCTGGTCAATCAGAATTTTATGGTTGCCAGAGGATCTGCGCCCCAGGGTAAGGGGGCACATGCATTGCAAGAGGGCGCTGCGCTCCTGTTCCCTTGTTTAAACAAATCCCTGTTAAAGTACTTGATAAAAACCTGAGAACTCCATGAATCCTACTTACTTAGTCAGTTTTTGGATTCTATGTGAGTTTGCTGATGGCGGTACAGGCTTCAGTCGGTGATTTCTTGACATTATAAAGTCACCAGATTGAATCATGTGAAATTCTTTTAAATGTAATATTTCTTGTTTTAAAAACTCTATTTCTTGAATTAGGGAGTTTTGTGATCTGAGTTCTGATGATAGATGAGCCACACTACGGGCTAATGTCACTACATGGGATTCCACTCGAGCAAAACGTCTATTGACCAATTTCACATCTTTATCTCTTTGTCCACGTTTCACACTCCCTGATATAAAAAAAATGATAAAATATAGATTATGATATTAGTTAAAATGAAAAACAGATTATTTTTATTTTTGACATTTTTGGTCAAAAACAAGTATTTTTTCTTTTTCTAGCTTTGATATTTATAACTGGAAACTAAATAACAATGCACATTCAAAAGCTTATATGAATGACACATTAGGCGTGAGCAATTAATCATCGTTAACTTGTATCCATACAACTTTTGAGCAGAAACTGACTTGGATACTTGGAATAAAAAACTAAATCCGTATTACGATGAGCCATACCTCGGAATCTACCACGGGACTGTAATGACTGCTGGCTTCCAGAAAATCTTCTGCTTTCAAATTTATCGTCTTTATTCCCACTAACTACATTCAAGATATCTTGGTACATCTTTTCAAGTGCTATTAGTTGATGGCGGACACTATCGGCATCTACTCTTGGTCGGGAACTATCTTCTGTCTGTGACTCTGAGGCTAATCCATAGCTGTCTTGCCCAGTGTCCAGGTGTAATGTAATAGATTCTGAAAAGTTACCGGTATATATTAAATGAAAGGTAGTACTGTTTGACCACTACCCAGCATTCTATCATCCATATTTTTAGGCTCACTAGAAACTTTTTATCAACTAAGAATCAACACACATGCAAGAGAAGACACCAACACAGGGTTAACAATGCAGTACAATAATAACCAATACTGTACTATACTATTAGAAGTGCACTCACACATAGCATGTATTTAAGCTGTACAACAACCTAGTTTTGCAAACTATTTTGATAAGGCATTTCTTAAAAACATGTACTCAGAGCAGATACTGTAAACTGGTCTAATTTCGTAAGAGAAAATTTTTTGCAAATTTCATGAGTCAATAAAAATCGTGAAATTGTATAGCAGTGAAAATTTCTCTGAGGTTCCATTGCAATGAGTGTCACCATGATAATGTACAATAACATTCTCTGATTTGCCACAAATGTATATTTTTTAATGAGTCAACATGCAATTCTGTCTTTAATTCCATCCATAATTATTACAATGTCATATACTCAGATACTCCACTTTACTGCATATCAATAAATCTATAATGTTAGACCAATGTACTACATATAGCCAATTACAGTTTAATTTGAAAAATCAAAGTAAATAAAAAACAATTACACCACACTTACCACTATCTCTGACTGTATCATCTTCATTAGAATCTTCACTTTTTGCAAGTTCTGCAATAGGAGGTGCTAAGATGGGTTTCTCATATCTCTTCCTTTGTTTATTTCTCCCACTTCCCCTATGAAACAACCCATGTGGATACAATCGTATCTGTGAGCTTGGTCCTCTGTTATATCCTTTTTTCCGCCTGTCACTCCCATTTTTCATTTTAGCTAACTGTTCAAACGGTGATAAGCGAGAACTAGTACGTGACCTGGTTGGCGGGGGAGACTCCGGTGGCGTAATGGGAGGAGTGTTATCAGGTGATAACGGTGGTAAGGGAGGTGTATGTGATCTAGAAGAGCTCTCACTTGGTGTATAGTTCAGTTCAAGGTCAATTCTACCTTCTGCATGTGGATTCTCTCGCACTTTTGGTGGAACTCGCGACGATGAATGTAATCCGGTGGTTTTTATGGAAGATGGCAAATTACTGAGGTATGAAGACATTTGTGTGTGAGCTGATGTCATAGAGTCAGTTATACTATTGTATGACACTGTGGAGTAATTGGAATCTTGTGAAGCTAGTCTATTAATTGGAAGTGAATTATGTGTAGTTACTGATTTCTGTTGTCTTTCATTTTCAAGTTCTTTTTGATATAACTCCATTCGTCTTTGGTCCTGCTGATAATTGCTGACAGGATACGGTCTATGCACATGTGTGGCTTGTGTTTTATTCTCAACAGCAGGATTCATATTTTTCCTAATGGGACTAGAGTCTCTACTTCTTGCTCTCTCATAAGGGTTCTCTATCGTGTTTTGTGGCAATGATCTCGCAGAATCATGAAAGTGATGAGGTTGTCTTGTAGGACTGACATCTCTTGAGTACTGTCTTGTTGGACTTGATTCCCTTAATTTGTTTGAAGAATGCCTTGTTGGACTTGATTCTCTCTCTCTAGATGGACTGGATTCTCTTTGCCTGGTTGGTGACTGGTCTCTCCAATCAGATTGTTGGCCGGGATGTCTATGCAGGTGCTCATAGTAAGTAGGGAGTTTCCTTGGAAGATAGGGTGGAGTCTGTAACACAATAAGGGGGTCATTATTTTAATTTGTTATTTACTAGATTTAAAAGATTAAATTAAATGCATATATTAAACATCTTCTTATTGATTTGTTGTTGTACTCTACCTGACTAGGATGACCACTGTATAATTTGTTACATGCATCTCTTAGGTTATCTACACTGCTAGACGGTGGAGCTCTAGTTAGGTTATCTACACTTCCAGACGACGGAGCTCTTGTCTGCTGCCAACTGAAAACAAAATCACTAAAATATTAAAACATCTAATGTTATGTACCAAAACATAATCAGATCCTGGATTTTTGTGTTGTAACTGATATTTTAAATTGACACCCAATTATGTGACACTTATTATTGCACATATGGCGATGAGAGATTAGATGCAGTTATATGTGATGAAAATAGAATCATCGCCCTGAACTCCTGACACATCAGTTGAACGTCTGTTGCACTGTTTGAGGGCATACTTTGCATTATCTTTATAATAACCTTATTATTATATGCCGCTAGGTGTAGGATGCCCCGAGCAAATATGTAAAAATTATTGAAACTTTTTTGGAATCTTGAAAATTAATCCATATTTGGGATTCACATTTCCTAATAAGGTAGGACGCAGATACCCTGCACAATACCACAAAACTATGGCACATTGTAACATATAGAGATACAGAGACAGATGTATAATAATTAAGATTATCACAAGAATACCATAAATAAGTTCATAATATTACACTTCATACCTGGGAGTCACAAGTGATGAACTACTGGTTGAATTGCTAGGAGATTTAGTATTGCCTGGTTGAGATGATGATGGTGGTGACATTCTGTTGTTCACATGGTTTTGCCTTGGAGATGTTGGTGATGTTGTCCTGGGTCTTTCAAGAAGGGCTTGAACTCTAGGTCCTTCTTTTTTCTCTCCAACATGTGAAGGCTATAGAAAAAAAAACATAACACCATGCAATATATGTAGTGTCCAGGAATGATATGCACTGTGAAAATGATATGGACGTCCTGAAAACATTTAATACAGAGAATGAAAGAAGCCAACGTGAAATAAATGCAATGAACTGTGAAATGAAAATGAAAAAAAACCATAACAACAGAAATCAGTAATTAAAGTTACTTTATATCTAGTTCACATAATTGCTTGTTTAAGCAGTTTTCAGATGATTATGCTTCTAAAACAACTTTTCAATAAAATATTTGTTTATACTGAACGCATCCAATCATGACATTTCTGTATTTGTATTTACAATAATCGTACCACATAAGTTGAAGGATATGGATCCCAATCACCGCTATATGCATCATATTTGACAGTTCCGTCTGTCATTGTTTTAACTCGTCCATCGTCACTATCATTATCATCCATGAATCGAGATGGTGTTCGTCTTGGTGGTGGTGGAGGTTGCAGTAATTCACCGTCATCATAGTCCTGTATGGTGATGATAAATGATTTGTATAAATGAAATGTAAATGTGATGAAACATTATTAATGTGGTGTAATGTAATGTGATGTGATGTGATGTGATGTGATGTGATG